GAAGAACAAATAAAATTATAAAGAAATATTAATAATAAAAGTAATTAAAAATATTAATAATCTAAATTAATAATTGTAATACACATAGTAATTATTTGAATAATAATATGCTAAATCTAGATATATTAAATACATAATGATTATCTGTATATCTAGAGTGAAATTAATCTTCTTAAAAAATATAATACAAAGCTAATCTGTAATACAAATAGTGCAAAATAAAAATCTAAACTAAAAGAGATTTAAAAAGAAATAATCTAATCAAAATTATTATATACTTCTCTACTTAAAGTATAATATTCTCATTATATTCAAGTACATGATTTTTTAAAGGTATTAATCTTCTTCATAACATTTTTCAAGTTCTCAAGAGATTCTCATGTTATATTATAGAGAGGATAACTGAGTCATTTAACAAGGTATTGGAGTTTGTGATAATAAATTCTTTTGTCAAGAATATTTTTAACTTTATATTCCTTTTCATTATCTAATATAATAATTACTGATAATAATTGATATCTGTTGAATTTATTATCTGAATTATATTTCTTTAATAGTGAAATATAAAATACTGGATATAACTTCATATTTGTTAGCAATTACAATTTATAAGTGACAAAGATATTTTTATAATAATTTCAAAAGAACCTATAAACTTTAATATAAGCTTTTTAATTATTCTTTGTTTATCAAGTGGAGCTTTTATATTACAAGTAGAGAAAAGAACTTTATCTTAAAAATTAAATTCTTCAAATCCTCTATGTTGATTTGCATATTTTAATTATTTTTTTTGTATTTCTAATAGCAAATCTTTAATAGTTTTTATCATGATATTCTAATTTTTCATGAAATTTTGTAATACTATAATATTATTTTAAGAGAATAAGATATTGATTGGTATGTAAGATACTTATTTATAATCTAATTTAAAAGATATATAGCTTGTTGAAGTATTTTTACTATTATTATAGACAAATTTTGCAGTTATTAAGTTTTTATTTCATCTATTTTGCTAATAGATAGTATATATTCTAAGCATCTCTTTCAAGATTCTATTTAATCTTTCTGTTTGGCTATCTATCTGAGGATAAAAAGCTATAAACATAATGAGTTTGATATCTAATTATTCAAAAAGAGATTTTCAAAAGTGATCTATAAATTTTGTATCTCTATCTGATATTATAATTATAGGTAAGTCATGCAATTTGAAAATATTTTTAAAAAATATCTTTGTAATATCAGATGCTATTATTATTATTGTAGTTAATATAAAATATACTCTTTTAGATAACTTATTTATAAATATTACTATTATATCATGTTCAGACTTGATAATTAGAAGTTGAACTATGAAATTCATAGTAATATATTTCCATTTATATTTTGATACAGCTAAAGACTAGAGTAATCCTGAAAGTTGTTGATTATTGCTTTTATTATGTTAATATAATTCACAACTGATAATATATTTGTAAATATTTTTGTTTATCTTTAGCCAATAGAACTGTTAAGATATAGCTATATATATTTTATTAACTTCAATCTATTCTGCAATTGATACATTACAAAATTCAAATAATATTTTTATCTTCAAATTTTTATTATCTAGAATAGCTGAAAATTCTTTCACAAACTTTCTGTAATAACTTGTAAGTCCAAGAAATAAATAAAGTTTTAATATATTGGTTAATGCTGGCCAATTTTTAATTGTAATAATTTTTCTTTGATCTATTAATATATCATCTGCTAAGATAAAATATTCAAGATATTTTATATGCTGTTGTATAATATCATATTTTTTCTATTTAACATATAATTTATACTTATAAAGTATTTTCAAAACTATTTAAAAATGTTAAATATACGTGGGGGGCTGAAAAGTTTTGCATGTGATACTCTAACTTGAGATTGCATCAGTTTAACTAAAATTAGGAATAATCATCAAATGCGTATGATTTTATGTAATAAATAAAAAAAAAGTAGAAGCAAATTTATTATCTTGTTGTCGAGAAAATAATTTTTTTGCAAAGCATAGTAAAACAACTGGAAGAAAATGAGCTGTAAAAACTAATGATACTTTATTTTTGTTTCTTGGAAAAATGGCAGAAATGCAACTCAAATCCATGAAGAGTTGATGAATGTAGAAGGAGAACAAGCATTATCTATCAGCATAATTAGATGCTGGATTGCTATGTTCAAAAACAGAGAAGAAGAAATTAAAGATAATGCCCATTCTGGATGTTCTCATGAAGTAGTGATATCAGAAAAAATTTCCAGAATCGAGGATCTTGTTAGTGATGACTCACATATTTCTATTAAAGAATTAACTAATAAAGTTGGTATTTTCCGTGAAAGAATTTCTTATATTTTGCATGAAGAGCTGAATCTTCACAAACTCTATGCAAAATAGATTCCCTATAGGCTTTTAAAAGAACATAAACAAAATCATGTCAAACTTTCCAAGCAACTATTAAAAATTTTAGATAGAAAATACAAAAATATTATTACTGATGATGAAATATGGATATATTTCTTTACTATTTCAAATAAGAAAGCGAACAAGTCATGGCTAAAAAAGGATGAGAATAGATCACAAATTGTGAAGATAACTCAAAATTCAAAAAAAAGAATATTTTGCATATTTTTTTTGTAGATAGAGTTATTATATGATTTGTGATTCCAAAAGAACAAACAGTTAATGATAACCTTTATGCCAATGAGATATTATCAAAAGTTTTTTTGAACTTTATGGAAAAAAGGAATAGAATGACTGTTTGTGACATTATGCTTCATCACGATAATGCTGCAGCACATAAAGCAAAAATTGTAACAGAATATCTTTATAATAAATAAGTAGAACTTCTTCTCCACCTGCCATACAGTCCAGATCTTGCTCCTTGTGATTTTTTCTTATTCTCTTGAATAAAAAAAAAACTAAAGGGAAAGAGATTTGATAAGGTCAAAAACTTGGCAAGGGCTGTTCAGATAGTTGTTGAAGGTATTCCAAAAGAGGACTATGAAAATTCTTTCCAGAATTGGCAAAATCAGCTAGAATGTTGTATAGAGTTTAATAGAGAGTACTTTGAAGGAATGAAGTAGTTGTATTGATAATTATTATAACAGTTCTGGAAATAAATATCCATGTGCAAAATTTTTCAGCTCCCCCACGTATTCTTTCTTTATTTTACTATATATTAAAATATCATTTAAATATATGATTATAAATTTATCTAGATAATCATAAAATATATTTTTCATTAGCATTATAAAGTTTGCTAGAGTATTGATAAGTCCAAAAGATAGAACCAAGAATTCATAATATCAATAACAAATTTTTAATGCTATCTTATAGATATTTTCTTGCAATATGAATTTAATAATATTCTGAATATAGATTTAGCTTTAAGAAATATTTTGATCCTGTGAGTCTGTCTATTAACTCATTAATTCTTGATAAGAGATAGCAATTCTTGATAGTAATTTTATTCAAAACTCTATAGTCAACACATAATTTTAATATATCTTCTTTTTTATATATAAAAAGAACTGATACTTTAAATGATAAAATATTAGAACAAATGAAATCTTTTTGAATAAGATTAGCTAATTATTTCTTGAGCTTATCTATTTCTATAAAAGAAAGCCTATAGATAAATCTGAATGATAATTCAGATCCTGAAATGAAATCAATTTTATAATCAATTACTTTTTTAAATAGTAACTAATTTGGTAAGATTTCTGAAAATATATCTTTATATCTTTTTTTGATATCTAATACTTCTAATAAAAGTAACTTTTCTTTTACTTCTTCTTTATTTTTAGCATCATTAAGATGTATAGTAAAGAGTTTTGCATCTGCTAACAGATTGATGATTTATTATCTTAAGATATAGATTAAATTATAACTAAAGTCTGACTTTACTTTATTATCAGCTTGTATTTTTATGATTTTTGACCTATAGGTAAAGATGATAGTATTATTTCTCCAATTTATAATTAGATTAGCATAAAATAATCAAGATTTATCTAAGATAAGATTATATCTTTGCAATTTTAAGACTTATATATCTAATTTAAGCTTATCAATCTTTATCATAATAATGATAGTAATTTTCTTGCTATCTGCAAGTTTAACTATTACTAATATTATCTTCTATAATTTTACTTTTTTTTTCACACAAACTTTTCATTAACAAAGTTTCTGAATGTATTATTATCTAGTAATATCTATACTAACTTATCATTTACTTGATTATTGAATTTTAATAATCTTTCTCTATTATCTTTTAAATAAGTAAATTCAACTCTTTTATATGATAATAAAGATTTTTCTTGCTTGTCTTCTATGTTTGCAATTTCTGTCTTTGATTTGAAATAAAGATGATAGTTGTAATTACTATATTATAATACTTATAGTATAATTATATATTGAATCATACAACTATTACCCTTACTATTTTCTTGCAAACAAAAATTCAAATAGAATATTTATAAATTTTCTTATCTGAACTTAAGATTATTACGTGATCTTTCATAACAGATTCTTACAGAAACTTTTTAATAATATAATATAACAAAATCTTATAAACTAACTTTATAAAAAATTATCAAGCTACTTAATACCTTTATATTTGAAATTAAAACTATAATTAAATAACAGAATTATCTAGTTAATAATATTCTCTTAGTTTTTGAAGAAACAGATAATTTTAAAATTCTCTCAACCACAGAATCAGAATATAAATATAGTAGTTTAAAAGATTCAAAAGAATTAATAATCATAATTAAACAGATTCAGGTTTAAAAATTTTAGCTCAAAGAAGAAATAATCATATCAGATAGAATGAAAATTCTTGTTCAAGTTCTTGAAAATTAACTTGATCTATAAAAATTCAAAGAATTGAAAAGATACTTACACATACTAATCAAAAGTATTGGTTATACAATAACAATCAAATAAAATTTTGCCAAGTCATATTATTTTAAATATAATTTACTTTACGAAAATCCAATCAAATTTCTAAAACTTTTTTTTATTTAAAAGCTAAAGAGTTCTAGATTTCTTTATCTTAAGACAGCGTCTTTATTTTCTATTTTAATTTTTAAAAAAAATGACAAAAATATGAGAGTTAACTGAATTTGAGCATGACATGATTATTGGTCTTCACAAGAGAAATCACACTGCCACAGACATTGAAAAAATACTTAAAATACCTAGAATGACTTGTATTAATGTAATAAAAAAATTTGAAAAATCTCAGACTATATCTAATGTTCCTTGCTCAGAGAGACTACCTCTTTTGAAGACTATTGATAAATATCATTTTATTCATACTGCAGTTGCCAATTGGAAGGATGTCGCAGAGGAAATAACAAAAAAATTCAATAATCTTGGACTGATTCAAGTTAGTATGAGTACTGCAAGACGTGTTTTACATGAACAAGAATATTTCAGCTGCATTGGTAAAAGAAAATTACTTGTTTTAGAAAGCAATAGAAAAAAGCAACTAAGATGATATAAAGAACAAAGACAGTGGGATGAAGAATGGAAAAATATTATTTGGAGTGATGAATCTCGCTTTCTTTTATATGAAAATAATGGTAAACATCATGTATGATGTAAATCTCATGAATAATATGATATAGATTGCATGTTTTCTATTATAAAAAGTGGTAATAAAGATATTATGATCTGTGGATGTTTTATAAAAAAGAGACTTGGTCCTTTAGTAGTTGTTGATAGATCAATTACAGATAATACATATAAAATATTATTAGAAGAACATTTATTAGACTTTATACAAAGTCTTGATGATGATATTATATATACTTTTCAAGATGATAATACACCTGTACATAAGGCAAAGTCTGTGATTGAATGAAAAGAAAAAAACTTGATTGTCTCTATTCCATGGTCTGCATAAAGCCCAGATCTTAATCTAATTGAGCATCTATAGGATGTTTTGGATCAATGAGTACATAGACTAAAATCTCATCCAAAAAATTTATAGGAATTGAGTGATGTACTAAAGGCAGAGTGACTAAAAATTTCTATCAGTGATTTAGAAAAATTGGTAAATAGCATGTCACGTAGAGTCAGTGCTATAATTAAAAATAAAGAAAATTTCACAGAATATTAATTGAAAATTCAAAAAGTTTATATTTAGACGAGTCTATTGATATAAAGTTTATTATGTATTATTAATGCTATTGTCATATAAAGTCATTTCAAATTCTAAGTAAAATTTTGCATTTTCGATGATAATCATCATGTGACCAATACTTTTGGCCAGTATATGTATTTCAATTTGTAAATTCAAGAGTAATGATTAAAATTCTGTTAAATAGTTATATGACTTTAAAGTAGTTACCAAAACTAATGGAATTACTAACAAAAAAAAGATTAAAATAGTAAAAGAATACCTAGAGAAACCAGTTACTATCTGGTTTGATCAATAATTTATAAGTAATACTCTCAAATTAAATGAATAGACTACTAAAAATTATGATAAATATGATTTTGCTCACCAATTTATTCTTAAATTTTATTCATCTTGTAAGGTATAACAATAATAAGATGAATTAGAAGTATTAAAGCAGACTAAAACAGTGAAAAAATATGTTAATTGATTTATAAAACTTGAAAGTAAAGTAGATTCAGAGAATACATATCCAGAAGAATACAAGATTTGAATTTTCAAGAAAGAACTCAAACCTAAAATTTGAAAATAGATTAATCTGAATGCTAAAGATATCATGAAAAGTATTATTAAAACTATTAAGAATATAAAAGAAGCTGATTTAGATCTACTTGAACAAATTTATCATCAAACTCAAGCTCAATCAACTGCTAAATAGAGTGCTCTTGCTAAGATTTTGCAAGATCTAACCAGTAGATTAGATTGTGTAAAATCTGGTAGAAGGTATAATAATTAGAGTAATAATAATAATTAGTAACAAAATCAGCCAAATAACAGATCTATCATTATCTATTATAGTTGTGGAGAAAAAGAGTATATCAGTAAAGTATGTTTAAATAACTTTTAGTTTATAAATCAACAGTTTAATAATCAAAATATTTCTTGAAATTGGAATACTTAAAATTAAAATAATAATAGTAATAATAATAATTAGCAGAATCAAAATATCTAAAATAATAATCAGTAATCCAACAATTTACAAAATCTAGATATTACTTCTCTTCTTATTCAAATTCAGAATTTAACAGCTGCTTTACAAGTATCTGCTACTGGTTTATTAAGTGATTCATCTATCTAATCTAGTTTTTTATTACTAGTAACTCATGATTATCTAGCTGAAAAAAGAAAATAAGCTAGAGTTATTAAAGAAGAAGAAGAAGAAAGTGAAAAAGAAAATAAAGTTATTCAATCTCTATCAGAAGTTCTAAAA